CAAACCAAGCACAAATCAATCCGGAATCACGCTCTTGCCACGAGTATCCAACTCCGAGTGGCCCAAATCTAATCAAATCATGTAACGTAAATATAGCTACAAGCAACTAATTTAGCGAATGAATTCAAAGCTAAGGCAAGAAAATAGGAAAACACCCAAAATCCTCCCCGGGCCCACTTCTCGAAATCGGGTAATAGTCACAAATTATGAACACCCATTCACTCCCGAGTCTAACCATACCAAATTCACTCAAATTCGATACCAAAATCTCTATCAAAATCTTCCAAATTCGGCCTAAGAACTTTTCTCAATTTTTCCCAATTTTCAACCACAAATCCGAAATTAAATGATGAAATGAAGCTTAGATTAATGGGATATAATCAAAAAGGAGTTAGGAATCATTACCCACAAACTTCCTCCGAAAATCACTCCAAATTTTGCCTTCTACCGAGCTCTCAATCATTTTGAAGTTATGAACTCAAACCCTCGATTTCTCTCTTTTCTGCCTAGTGATTTCCACTTCTGCGCTCCTAGGACCGCATCTACAGTCCCGCACCTGCGGAAGATTCATCGCAGGTGCGAAGTCCACTTAATTGGGTTGGGGCCGCATCTGTGGGCACTGGACCGCATCTGCCAGCCCGCTCCTGCAGTCCCCCAGCCGCGCCTGCGATCCCAGCTGACAAGGTCCATAACCGTATCTGCGACTCCGCACCTGCAGTCCAAAATGCGCAGGTGCGAAAACAACATGTGCTGCAACTTCAGCAAAAAGCATAAGTCCCAAACCAATCCGTTAAGCATCCGACACTCACTCGAGGCCCCCGGGACCTCAACCAAACATATCAACCAATCTTAAAACATCATACAGACTTAGTCGAGCCCTCAAATCACATCAAACAATTCAAAAACCACGAATCACCCTCCAATCCAAACTTAATGAACTTGAAATTTCAAAAATTCTACAACCGATGCCGAAACCGATCAAACCACGTTCGATTGACCCCAAATTTTGCACACAAGTCATATTCAACACTACGTACCTACTCCAACTTTCGGAATCAGATTCCGACCCTGATATCAAAAATTTGACTTTTGCCATTTTAAGCCTAAATGAGCTACAAACCTCAAAAATACAATCCGGACATGCTCCTAAGCCCAAAATCACCCAACGGAGCTAACAAAATCGATGGAATTCCATTCCGGGGCCGTCTTCACACTATTTTGACTACGGTCCAAATTCTAAGGCTTAAGCTCTTATTTAGAGACTAAGTGTCCCAAAATACTCCAAAACTCAAAATGAACCATCTCGGCAAATCACAATAGCAAAAAATAGAATCGGGGAAGAAGTTAATAGTGGATGGGGGCGTTAATTCTCAAAATGACCGGCCGGGTCGTTACAGTCAATCTTCATGATCCTGAAGCTATTAAAGAAGAATTTCTCAGCTTCTACAAGTCCTTGATGGGAACTACAGCATCACAACTACCAGCAGTGAATAGATTGGTAATGAGAAATGGCCCTTGCTTATCACATACTCAGCAGCTAGAGCTTTGTGCCCCAATTACAGAGGAGGAAATCTATGAAGGACTGAGCTCAAATGGAGATGATAAGGCCCCAGGAATTGATGGCTTTAATGTTGTCTTTTTCAAGCAGACATGGCCATTTTTAAGAATAAAGTTTGTGAAGCTATGAAATAATTTTTCATCACATGAACCTTGTATAAAGCTATAAACTGCACTACACTTACTTTGGTGCCTAAGGTTCCAAATCCAAATAAAGTTAAAGACTATAGGCTTATAGCTTGTTGTACAGTGTTATACAAGATTATTGCTAAGGGTCATCACCAACAGATTACAGAAAGTAATGGCCTACATTATCTCAGAGGCTCAGGCAGGGTTTATCACAGGAAGGAAGATAGTAGACAACATCATATTGGCACCTGAAGTTATCAAATCTTATGGTAGGAAGCACATCTCCCCCAGGTGTATGATAAAGGTAGATCTACAAAAAGCTTATGACTTATTGGAGTGGATCTACCTAAAGCAAGTTATGGAAGGACTGAGGTTTCCATAGAAGTTCATCAAATGGGTAATGAACTGTATCAAAACAATTAATTACTCTATTCTACTTAATGGAGAATCAGTTGCACCAGTCAATGCAGCCAAAGGCTTGAGACAAGGAGACCCTATGTCCCCTTTTCTCTTTGTCATTGCCATGGAGTACTTGAGTAGACTGCTTAAAAACTTACAGGATGAGAAAAGCTATAAATTTCATCCAAGGTGTAGAAGGCTGAGGATCACTCGCCTAAGCTTTGCTGATGATCTGCTGTTGTTTGCGAGAGGAGATAGTGAATCTGTGTAAAGACTTCATCCATGCATAACTACTTTCTTAGTAGCCTCGGGCTTGCAAGCTAACTTAACCAAAAGTGATGTCTATTATGGGGGAATGACACAGAGGGAGAAAGAGGATATAGTTCAACTGCTAGGTTACAAACTAGGGGAAATTCCTTTTAAATACCTAGGGGTTCCTCAAGACACTAAGAGCTCACCATGGTTCTGTGGCAACTCCTCATAACAAAGATTATGACTAAAATCTCTTCATGGACTGCAAAGAAGCTATCATATGCTGGGAGAATTCAATTGATTCAAACAGTTTTATTTGGGATCTAATCTTATTGGGCTCAACTATTACCTCTACCAACTAAGGTAATACAAATAGTTAAAGCCCATTGCAGAAGCTACCTGTGGTCTGGGGTTGATACAATTACAAAGAAGGCTCTTGTTGCTTGGGAGAAGATATGCCTGGCTAAGGCTACAGGAGGGCTCAACTTGCATAATCTCCAGGTATAGAACAGTGTTGCAATTGCAAAGACACATTGGGATTTGACTTATAAGCAGGATAAGCTTTGGATAAAATGGATCCATGCCTATTACATCAATGAGCAGAGATTGGGAACTATGACCATTCCACAAAATTCTAGTTGGATGGTTAGGGAAATTCTGGGTGCAAGAGATACCATTGGGTAGCTGAGCAGACCCATTGTTGAGCATAAGAGTATCATAAAACAAATATACTTACAACTGCTACCAGAATACCCAAAAGTAAGGTGGCAAAAACTAATGTTCCAGCACTTTGCAAGACCAAAAGCTTTATTCACAATGTGGCTGCAATGCCAGGACATACTTCTAATAGTGGATAGATTGCTGAGATGGGGACTTAATGTGCAATGTGTCAAGCTCACAATATCAAGAAATTATCTATTTGCTGAATGCAGATATGCTCATGCAATTTGGAACAGAGTCAGCAAGTGGGCACAACAACAACTCTATGGTGGTAGTAACTGGGAACTACAATTCCAAGAGATAGTTAAAAGTATACAAGGGAAGACAACACAGGCCAAATTCATTAAGATGATATAAGCTGAAGTTATATATGCCATATGGAAGGAGAGGAATGCAAGAGAAGGGGTGGCCAGAGATTGTGAAGGAGTGGCAAAAGAGATAGCATGTGTCTGTCGCTGCAGGGCTACTGGGGAGATGAAATACTTAGTGCAAAAGCAAGTTTTCTAAGTTTTTTTTTTACACATAGCAATGCTGTATAGGTAATATGGGATGCTCAACTATGTTTCTTTTTCTTTGAGATTAGCTAGTTGAGTTGTGCTAAGCTAATGATTTGTAATTGCTTTGGAATTAATAAAAAGCCTAATTTGTTACAAAAAAAAACATATAAATAAAAGAAATACTCATTCAAATTGGGGAGTAGGTCCAAATTGGAGTTTTAAAATTATTTTAAAATAAAAAACGAAAATGAAGAAATAAAAAAAAAATTCAATTCAAGAAAAATACAAAAAAGTCAAGTGGCATTGTTAAGACAAAATATTTTTCAAGTGCCATTCAAAATGAAGAATAGTTTTAAGTTGGAGTTTTAAAATTAAAAAAAAATAAAAAAAAAAGTTAAATTAGCTACAATAAAAGACGAAAATATTAAAAAAAATAAAAAATAAAAAATAAAAAATAGAAAATAAAAAAATAAAAAAAACTACCTATTGAAGTTGGGGTGTAGTTTTGGTTACTCCCTTTCTAACTAAAAAACCTTTGAATTTTAAATTTTGAATTAATTGATTACTCTATTTGAATTAATCAATAAAGATATCTTATAATTAACTATAATAAAAAAAAAGGAAAAACTACCCATTCAAATTGGGGCGTAAGTTCAAGTTGGAGTTTAAATATTTTAAAATAAAATATAACAAAAAAATACTAGCTATAATAAAAAAAATGAAAATCTATAATAAAAAAATATCCATTCAAATTGGGGAGTAGTTTCAAGTTGGAGTTTTAAAATTATTTTAAAATAAAAAAAAATAAGAAACTTTCAATTCAAATGAAAAATACAAATATATATATAAGATCGGAAGAGCACA